ATGCCTTATATAGGTATGGTCCTACACTATATTATTCAAATATAGCATGATAGGTCCACTTTAATGTTGCTCCTTGATATTTATATATCTTGATATAAAAGAAAAAAAAGGCGTGTCTCTGGAATTGGGATGCTGCTACTCTAAAAACAAAGTGTCTTTTGTACAGAAGCAGACAGTCTCCATAGGGCAACATGCTGTGTGTGAGCCATCTGAATGTGATGAGTGGGCTGTCGACAGAGCGGAGGGGTTGGGCTGGGAACGGCTCAGGAGGATGCACAAAGGCAGTGACTGTGCAAAAAACACAAAGCTCTCTTACTTGCCACTGTGTTTGATAATGCATGAAAATACGTAAGTGGAAAAACGGGATTTTAATAATTATACGTTTCATTAATATATCTTAAGGTAGCACATCCTTCTCTTATTTAGAGATTAAGTCATAATGCAGACATAATGATCCACAACAGACCACACCCTCGTATAACACACCACTAACAGAGCCGGCATTAGGTGTTCTTTGAGTCAGTGACATTCACATAAAATAAAGGTTGAACTTTATATTATTATGTTTAGGATATAAGCTTCAAATTGATTTAATTTCAGTTACTGAATAGAAAGGAACAATAAGATCAGGCTTAAATGTTCACATTTTTTATAACGAATATTTAGTTTGATGGTGTTTGATTTTAAATGTAATTCATACTATTATTTAACTACTCAATAAAATAAAAAACATAGTCAATTTTTTGTAGTGTGAATGTATAACCAGAATGAAATAAACCACCCAACAAGACAGTATTTGGTCACAACTTCCTTCAAGATTAATCTGTTCATGAGCACAGAAAAGCAGGTCAAATGTGCTAAAATATAAACTCTTTCTCCAGCTTGAATTATAATGTTCTGAGTATTATCTGCAGGGCTGATTCTCAGCAGGCAAACCATGTTTATTTGGGTTCAAATGTACGGTATTTTAAATTGAATGTAACAATTTACACCATATGGCAACTTAATAACAAAATAACTGCAAAACAGCCAACTGAAACACTGCATGTCTAATTTAGTAAACCTTTGCTGATGTCAGAGGTTGAAGAATTGGTGGAAAACTCAGTGGCCCCTTCAGGCTGAGGGCCAGTCGAGCAGGCTCTGCAGGAACGCTCTGCTCCCACGCAGCCAATGCCCAGTGCCATTCACTGTAGTATGTGTCGCACAACCCCTTTATTATCTAATTCCACAAGTTTAGTCTATTGTAAAGCCAGCATTGAATTTCCATTGAATCCACCGTAAATCCCTTCTTAAGTATTCACTCCAATACCTAATTAGTGTGGCATTTTTACAGCTGGAGCAGTAAGAACTACAGTGCACGCAGTCAAAAGGTGATAATTATGCTGCGTCACTTAAATTCCTAAACTCTACTCTTTTGTCAAACAGTTCAGTACTTCATACAGTATTTCGTTTATTTTCTCAAACGTTAATCAGTTCATCAAAGGTCACATAGGTGTTTAACAAGAGCATCTCTCCTTGCATAACCCTACACATCGCACTGAACCTCTATTATGAAGCTTGCAAAATGTTTTTCCTTTAGGTATCATATTTTTTCTCATGAATCAAGAATCAAACCAGACAACAAGTGACACTCAGCCACATAAACATCAACTCATTGCAGAGTTATTGACTAAAATGGCACGTGAGGGTACCAAGGACGATTTCACCTCCTTGGTACCCTGAAAAGTAATGCATTTATCCACCTGAGATCAGTTACACATTCTATTGTGTTTTTTCTTCGCCTATTGTACACCCTTCAACTATTAAAAAACCAGGACAGCCATTTTTCCGTAAACTGTTAACGGACAGACACATTTAAAAACTGAGTTCAAAAACAGAGTTAAAAATAAGTCGCAGTGCATTCAAATAAACCATCTCTACTTGATGAGACAAAGACCTACTTTATAGCTGGCCCACTGGTTGTTTACTGGTTTGTTTTGTTCTGTTTGTCTAGTTACTGTTGTTGAAAATGTCTCCCTGTGATTCTCTTCTCATCACATGGACAGGAGCTCGGGGCGCTTGGTGATCGCAACTGCAAATAAAACTATAGCAACAATAAAAACTGTGATTTTTCAGATCTTAGTCAGCTCAAAAGGGAAACATATCTCAGCTGTGGAGAAGCAAATATTGTTTTTAATGGAAACATAAATACAATTCTGAACTATTTTCATGCCTTGGAAGACAATTTAAATAAAATAAACTGCTATTGTATACAATTATGTCCACGAATCATGATATAAGCTTCTGACATTTTCATCTCACGTAGAAAATGTAATTGATCAGCTTACTCTCCATGTGCCACAATTCTCTGACACAAGCAGGCCACAGCTTTTCAAAGAAACTATGAGCTGTATAACAGCCTAAACTGGAATGTATTTTCTTTTCTGACGATGATGTTAAAAAATGACTTTTGGAAACAAGGGTTTAGGTGAGTTTGGTCAAAGTAATGATTAGCCCAGCAGCTGATCTCAAGTCTCTTGTTCAATTACTCAGTAGCCACACATTTATCTGCAAAATATTATTGAGTAAAGAAAATAAACTAAATTGAATCAGTTTTGCTTATAAGAAACATAAAATGTGAACAGAATGTTTAAATGAGACTACAGAGAAACAATTCTTTCAATAACTTTTCTATTTGTTGGTAAAATTATCAAGAAAATACCAATATTTGTCTTACCCTTCTTAGCAAAGTTCATGTTCATCCAAAAACTGGCGGAGACTCTATCCCCGAACATGCACTATACCGAACATGTAAAAACTAAACGCAGAATGATAGTTAGTGATAGGATCTCATTGTGTGTCCCAGCTCCTCTGCCTGAAGACAACAGCTAAAGACTGCTATTGATGCTACATCATATGATCCATTAGAGTCCAGTCAAGGCATTTAAGCCCTGTACCACAGCTGACTGGCCCTGCTGGCTACAACAGTCAACAGCTGAGAGAACACGCTCACGGCAAGCATTCAGTACACTATTGCATGTTTTGTTTTACTTTGGGTCTCTTTGTGGAGGGGAAACACAAGAGTTAAAACCGCTGCTGTCAGTTTGAATTCAGCTCCACAGGCCATGGCCTCAGAGTGCACGTGTGTGATTTTGTCAGCGAGTTTGAGCTGTCAAAGAGACGCTGAGTAACATAGACCTCCTATATGTGATGGAGTTCCTCTAATTAATGAGACCCAAAAGTAGTAGCTACATGAAGTGACAGGAGCTACTGATATGAGCTAACGCCTCACACTGCTATGTCATTGTCCTGCCTGCCTACAGACAGCACATAGGACAGCTGAGCAATATTCAGTCAATGATACTCACCCTAAAATGAGAAAATATATAATTTGCCTTGTAAAACAAATAAATGGATACTTATGACCTTGTAATTTGAGATAAACAATGCAGACATAGCGATCATCTGGTTGGACAAACAAATTTCAAGCTTGTTGTGATGTCATGCAGGAAATATTTCCACTTTTCCACTGCATGGATAAAGACACCAAGACCAGCCAGTCACCAGAGAGAGAGGGGGCAGGCTGAAATTTATTGAACTGTCAAGCAGCAATCAGGAAATTTCTTTATCGTCCCAGAACCTTAAGAAGAACCAATCAACATTGATCCTACCTTTATATTTTTCCAAAACATCCTCGTAAGCTTGGAGGTATTCCTGTTCGTCCGAAAGTCCATAAGGCTGCGGTGCGAACTGAGCCATAACCCGGGCTCCACAGACTGGACATTCACCAGCGGCGGACAGTGACACAGCGTGTATGTGTATGTGTGTGTGTGAGTGTGCACAATACGTGTGTTTTTGTGTGCATGTGTATGTGCCGGCGACCCAAGAGTGATCGGCGCTGTTGTTGAAGGAAACGCCCTACATCCCTCCCTTGTCTGCGCTCTGGCCAATAGGCGACACTCCCTCCCCTGAGTTCACTGGACTGATAGGAAGGACTGTCGGACGTAATGCACTGCAAAAGATGTCTGTCCTAAAAAGGTCCATTGAGCCAAAACGTTGTCTTAAATGTAAATAGAATACGAATTAAATATGATTTTCCAAAAATAAAGCTCAATATCTGGTAGTTTAACTTGGTATGTAGAAATTGGCCTCAGTAAGTAAATATATAAAAATCACACTGAATGGTGGATAATTTTTTACAGTGTACAATAATAAACGCTTTTCCTTGTCAGGCGTCCCCTGTACCGGCTCGTAACATGGACCACGATCTTTTTTCATTGTTTTCCACCTGCCAGAGACTACACATTGATTGACAAGAGTACAGTTTGACATTATACTCTTGTATTTGCTGTCTAAAGCACAGCAGCTGTCGACTATGTCACACAGATTAATTTAAGGGTGCGAAACTGAACCCAAAAAAGTCCCTAAATCGTAATCTGATATAGGCCTACTGTAAGTGATTATACAATCTTAAATAGTGTCAAAGTATCATTATAAAATAATTAAGTGCTGTAAAACAGCATAACATCACATTGGTAACTACCAGAGTCCATAATAGACTGACTTTTATTGTCATATTTTGCTCTAAAAATTCTTAACAGATAATATTTTGATGGTAGCCTAATTAAAATTAGCCCAGTTGACCTGCATAGCAGGAAAGCTTCCTGAGTTCGTTTGATTCCGTTGAATGTATTAATCCTAACAAAGAATCGCCTTTAATGAACCGTAATCCACTATTATAAGGGTTATGTAAAATATCAGCTTGGAAATGCCCCACATATCCAAGACCCAATGGTAAATTGGAAAGCATCATATCCAGATTAAGAGCAGACGAAAATACCATCACATGCCACACACCCAGACCCTGTTAAGGCTACCAGGAGAAATAGCCTACTCCTTAACAAGTCGCTATAAAATCATGCACCCACCATACGCTCCATATGCAGCATATTCGCTCATTGTTGTTCTCGCTACAGTACATTAGCATCTCGTAAACAGGGGCAACAGGAAGACTGACTCACCTGCGATCCTGAGCACGGCTCTCTCCGCCGGATCCAGCACAGATCCCCCCTGAATCTTCCTCTTGGACCTCTCATGTCTGGGCAGGTTCCAGGGTAAAGTGTCCCCGGGAGCAGGTGATGCTGACCCGGATTTAACACTGTAGTCATCCTCGTCTGAAATATCCGCCGAGGAAGACATGGAGCAGTGAAGGGAAGGGTTCCCCGAACTGGAGCTCTGCGAGACAAAAGAAAAACGGGGGTAAAGAAAAAAAAGGAACAATGCTTGTCTTGATGTCACACAAAACGAAAGGAAAGGAATAAAACGCCACAAATCCCCTTATTTCTCACCGTCGCGGGTCAAAGTGCGCACTGCGAGTGTAGGTGCGAGGCGGCCACCAGCTCGCAATGATCCATAACAATAAAAGATTGAGCCAAATTATAGCAATGTGAAATCAATAGTATCTGGCTCCCCCGCCAGGACAACCATAATACTTACCACTGTATACATGGTGAGCTGTCAGCAGGAAGAAAAATAACAATCCTTGTTGCAGGTTAGCAGTACACCCTTTTTAGTCACACATTATGCGCCTCAATTATAAAAAGGTGGTGCCACGCCCTTTGAGGGATGCTCCGGCTGCGATATCGTCCCTTATCTACGCATTTAAGGATGTGAGGTGATGTCAGATCTCCAGAGGGCTGAACGGATGGTACGCTGTGTGCTGTCGAGGCAGAGCTGGACGGTGATGGGAGAGCAGTGTCTCTCCGCGTCACACCCGGTAGCCAACAAGCAGCAGCCCCAACAGCGACGGCGGTGTTAGAGCGCCATCCCTGCACAAAAGGTGCTCGGTGACAACAAAAACATCAGAAGCGGGGGTAAAAAGAGGACAAGGGGTATCCAGAGGTTCTCATAGCTACGGCTTTACAACAGATCCACAAAGAGTAGACTACGAAAAGGAATAAAAGGAACACAACACCTTAAGCGTCTGCAATGAAGATGGGGTGTTAACCACACAGGGTGCAGTGAAAGCATATGTTGAGCTAATTACCTGAGAGGATGGAGAGGACCATGGGAGCACAAAAAAGGATTATACTTGGTTTAAGTAGGTTTAATTCTAAACCAATTTAACCTAAATCTAGTTAAAGAAGCATCTTTATACCATTAAATGAATCCTTGCAAGCTCTCTTTGATGTGTTCTTGAGTCTCTGAAGGGTTATAATTAAATACCATTTTCAAGATGAAATCATTTTAAATTAATGACTTTATGTTGCAATGTCCTGCTGCACCCTGCCACACCTGGGATTGAGCAACAGAACAAATAGAAGGAGCCAAAGGAAAGAGAGGGGTGAGGCTAAAAACACACTTGTATGAACAGTCACACTTCATTTGCTAAATGATAAAACAGTATTTAAGAAGGGGAAATGCAAACAGACTTGTCAACATTGTTGGATGAGTCTGCATCCTGGATCATCTTGGTGTTATAACTTGGAGATAGTACATGAAAAGCACACATGGAGGATGAACTCGAAAACTTCAGTCAGCATCTCGAATGAGGTTCATGACATACTTTCTATTTTTACAGCAGTAGTGGGTAGAATTTGTTCTCAGTGCTTGATCAGAACTGATAAAAGCAACACAGTGTTAATATTAGCTGCCTTTACATCATTGCTACACTTTTCATGGGGATAAAAGTGAGTGCTGAAGAGACAGCTTAAGTGTTGCAGTTTTGATCAGCTTCCTGCTTATTCAAAATGTCGACCGCTGAAAGGAAATTGTAATGATTCTTAGTAAGGCTGCTGCATGAGTATGTGAATTTTTTCCCTGTCAATTTTCACTTTCTCTAAGGAGCATTGAGCAGGGATAAGAATAGTTGAAAGATTAAGAGACATGTTATCTTTGTTAAAACCTAATATTCTGGCATATGAGCTGTTTCTAACATAATAATAGACATAAGGACTTCACCATCATCTATGTGACTATCATAAAACCTTACAACATATATTTCCATTTTATATGCAGCCCTGATTTACTAAATTTTTCAAGGGATAATTCAAAGAGATTATCAGTTAAAAACACAAAAATAAGATTATGCCATCTGAAGGCAATCATGTTGAATTATTAATTTTGCACAGATTAGTGTGCTACCCATGCTAATATATCATGAATGATGCACGGTGGGCTGATGTAGGCCTGTCCAGTCTATACACGGCTATTACATATTCATATTACAATGAATATGAGTCTGCTCATATACAGAATGTCTTTTAGTTTTTGTGATTCCACATTTCTTCACATTGCTGTTCTTGTTGGTGCCAGTTACATGTGAAATGTATCTGCCTATTGTTGTATTAGAATAACAATATTGGTCAATATTATGCTTACCACAGGTACACAACCACAAGCAATACATATCAATGAAAGTCAAAGTGAAGTTGATTTGGTTTCACTCATGGCAAGGAGCCCTGTAGCATTTTGACATAAGTCTTCCATGATAACTGGCTCTGATACCGTTCATATGGATGATGTTTTTGTTATCTTCTGGATTGCAAAACAAGTAATGGAAGCAAGGAGTTGCCTCAGTTTCACACAGATCAATAAGTTCCTGTAAACACAGTCAGTTCAAACATCATTGACATGTCAAATATTCCACTAAATGTTGATGTAACCAACTGTGGCCCTTTGGAGTAGGTATAACAATTATGTAAAGATAATAGTATATTCCTGACACAACAAATGACATTCAAAGGCAGACATAGGCTTGGTGATGTACTGGGATAAGGATTATTTTCTATGGAACATAAAAAAAGATATTCCCGGATTGGAGCAGTGTTGCATAAAGAAAGGCCAACACACCATAGGGCAGTGGTTCTCAAACTTTTTCTGTCATTCTCCACTTTGAACAGGTGGGCCTTTTCAAGCCCCACCTGTTCCTCATCGCTCCAATAAAATGGTAGGCCAAGCTTAAAATGGTCAAATGTATCGTTCTATAACAGGGGTCTCCAACCTTTTTTAGGATGAGAGCTACTTTCAAAAAATAAAACAAGTGGTGAGCTACTTTTACTCCTCTTTTTCAGTTTTTTTGCACTGTATATATTTAGCACATTTGAACATTATTATATGCTTACCTTTAACCTTTGTGTGCTGTTTGGGTCTGTGGGACCCGTTTTCAATGTTTACTAAAAGAAAATGTATGCAATTTAATTATTTTAACCTGCTTTATTTGGGGGTGGACCTCACCTCGTCTAGGGGGGTCCGGGGGCATGCACCCCCGGGAAGATTTTTTTTTTTAATGTTCAAGTGAAATGCCTCAATCTGGTACACTTTGAGCAAAAAATGAATTTATGGATACAGCTCTCAACACACTGAAAGGAAGCTGTATACTTTTCAATTATCCAAACATCTTTAGAATATCATCAAAACCAATAACAAATCATTTAAACTTGTTTATTCTTATATGTAGTTAGCATTCTTTCTTTTTATTCTCCCCTTTTAAACTTTTTTAAACTTTTTTTTTTTTTTTTACTGTCCTAGAGCACACATTGGAATGATTTCTTACTTAATTTTTTACACCTAGGCTATATTAAATAGATAAATGTGTGCTCTCTCTAGCTCTCTCGCTCTCTCGCTCTCTCTCTCGCTCACAGAGGCTGTGTGCTCCTCCGTGGCGATGACGGCTTGCGTTAAAAAAATTATAATAAACATAGGCCTATTTGTAAAGTGGGGGGACACAAACGGGATTTCGAAAAGTGTCACGGTTAAACTCCTTGTGAAGTGGTGAGGTGCCGCTCCACATTGCTTTTCTTCCCGACTGCAACGCTGTAAATGATTTTGGTTTCAGTTGTGTGTGTGTGAGCAGGCTCGGATTGGCCATCGGGAGATTCGGGACTTTTCCCGGTGGGCCGCTGCGAAAGTCCACCGCCGTTGCGAGTCTCCGGCTGTAACAGTCTACTAACGCCCGCGAGGACCCAGACTCGATTCCGGCCTGAGGTCCAAAAAAAAAAATTATAATACTTTTTTTTTTTTTTTAATTAAAAACTCCCGTTCATCGCGTCCATTCGCGACCCACCTATCACATCTCTGCGCCCCTACAGTGGGGCGCGCCCCACACTTTGAGAAACGCTGCCATAGGGGTTCAATGTGGTTGTGCCTTATGTTCCCATAAGTTCACATTTCCTGCTGAGGCTCTGTGTTTATACAGCTCTCTGTTGCTGGAGTCAGATGTTACCTTCCAGGAAGAAATGGATCAATATGTGGGTCTGGTGTTATACACTCTCCCTCCTCACCTTTTAAATGACACTACCTGAAACTAAGAAAACGATTGCAAAATTTGACCACACGGTTTGGAAGCAATGCAGCAAGTTAACAGGGATACAACGAAAAGGAAATACCAAACGCCTAAAACTGTTTAAAGAGTTAGACTTTTGAGCCATAGGGATACATAATGTTCTTATGCCACCATAGTAAATTGTTAACAGATTAGATTTTTTTAAAAAGAAGAAAGATGTACAAGCATGCCAACTAAAATAACAACAAACTAAAGCAAAATGTGTTAGGGGATTACCATTTGATATTCAAACAGGAAAATACATACCTAAAGGCCTACTAGAATGTTTGATATATAGCCTACATTGGTTTTTGGATATGTTAAATGTGCTCTGATTTGTTAATAAGATATCCATCACATAGTTTTTCAACATAAGATGCATCCTCTTTATAAATTGCATGCTAATGTATAAAACATGTATGTAATATAACAGATGGCCCAATATCAGTGTTGGATTTTTGACCACATTATGGTTGAATTTGCAGAGATGTTCAATTGTTTATGCTAAGTAAAGGTATATAATCCCAATAAATAAATGTCCCTATAGACACTTTGTTTTGTTAAACCTAAAAGGTTAATTATGTTAGAATAGATTGACTATGATAACAAGTGAAGACGGTTTTTTGATTCTATTCATTGTATTAATATTCACTGAAAAATACACAAATAAATAAAGTAACAACACTGACAACCTATATGAGCATCATTTAAGAGCAGGGATTACACACCCAGACAAACACTTGCCCTGTGTCCTTGAGCAAGCTTCTGAATCATTACCGGCGTTAAAGGCAGACTGATGTTCCTGTGGAGGGGAGCAAGCAAAACATACAATCAGTATTTATCATGGTAACAGTTAAAGGGGGTACCTACAGGTCTGCGTGTGGGGGTGACTTGTACAGACTGGTAAAACTCTGGCAGGACCCTCTTCTTTACTTTGCGTTTTCTTAGAGTCGAGGATGATTCTGGTTCACTCTCAGGAATCTCAACCAGATTAGGCTTTTCCTCTGTCACTCGAGCATGTATGCTCCTTCTGGCGTGACGTGGACTGTGCCTGAAGCCCTGGGAAACATTAGCAAATATCAAAATGGCAGCAGTTCATACTTTCAGCAGTGGGAGATATCAAAAGCTCTTATCATAAACAATGATCCTGATTCAATTCATGTTTCTTAAGCCATGGAGACACACTGTCATGGAAGATGACCTACATTTCGATTCATACAGAAAGATGATTCAGCAAATCTAAATGATCTATGTTTTCTTTGTTATGCCTTTAGTTTCTTCCATTCAGAGTTGTTCATTGTTTGGCTTAATGCTTTTAAAGGTAATAATCAGGGAACTGTTGTTCTACATTAAGCACTGCACTGCTGTTGTGCCCTTGAACATGATACTAAACCCCTACCAGCAGCACTCCTGAGCCAGTGGGGATTCAGTATCCTGTGGTTCAATAACATACCAGCAAAGGGCAGTATTTTGTCTTTTGGAACTTCACAACCACTGCAAATTACCAAATAAGCAGATTTTTAGGCATTAGTGCATTAAATGCAACCCCATTTAAGTTTTATTTTGAAAGAAATGACAGACCACTCCTTTAAACTGTAGACCATGCCAGGAACATTATTACTTAAACAGAATTATATCTAATAAGAAAGCTTTTGTTTTCATTTTAAAGATGGCAATTTGGCGATAGCAATCGTTTTAATCCGTGTTCATGCACTTTTTTTACACTTCATTTTTTGTACTTTTATTTTGAAAGTGAAGTGCGTAAAACGGAAATACAGCGACTGAAGCTACTTGACGCATTTAGCCATCAAACATGATGACATAAGCCTATCTTATGTGGAGTAACATATGGTGGCGTTCTATCAGCTCACTTTCAGCTCAGTTTTATGTGTTTTGGAGAAAAAAACTCCAGTCTAGTTTCAATCCTCCTCAAAGCATGAAACTGCAACATCACCTACATAATTTATTGATAGCCTACAACACATGCGCATTGCGCACATCATGCTCCTTAAAATAGTCATGCCGTTCTGAAAAAGTACATAAAACAGGCTTTTGCAGAAATATGTTATTCTTAAGAAGCTGATATGGTATACTAAATAGAACTTTCACACATTTACCTCCTGATGTCTCCAATAATGATTAACTATTACAGAGCACTGACTCAAACCCATAATTAAAAAAAGTTCATACCTCTGATCGAAAATGATGTGTTCGGAGGCCCACTACAGGACAGATAACAGATGTTATGAGATATTATAAAACATTTAACAAGCATTAACATTATGAAACAACAGATATAGTCTAAATACATTCATGTTTTCAACAATAATTCTAGATAGGTTTGGCTAAAACTATTTAAAAAAACTCAGTATCTTCCCACTTATTCGCATCTATATGCGTTTGTTTTATGCAACAACCCATACTGCAGCAAAGGGTTGGCTTTACTGGCTATAAGACATAAAATAGACTATGAACACGTCCAGAACATGCAGGTTACAGACATGAGCTGTCAGGATGAGGAGATGCGCATGGCCTGCGCCACTCACCGCGGCTCCTGGAGCGTCCGGACAGCACTGATTTTATTGGATGTTGTCCATTCCGAAGCTTGCGATGCCAGCAGCAGAAGAACAGAATTGTCGCTATAGTCCCGAGCAATAGCAACAGCAGCAGCAGCACACATTGAATGCTATACGGCCTCAACAGGACCAAAAACGCCGCAGCAATCATCGTAAGGCGAGATGTAGGACAGAGTCCTTTGCCTCAGACAGTAGCAGGCTGCTCTGATGCCGATGTGTCGCTGAGAGCTCAAGATGAGAATAAAGACAGTGACGGACATACGTGAAGCATCGTAGAGCCAACAGCGTATAGCATACAGCTTCAAAGTATACAGCCCACACTATTGATATCATTATTGTGAGGTATACGATGCATGACTCAGCAGAGACGCGCGTTTTATTTATTTATTTTTTACAGGGGCAGGGAGAGTCAGCAGATTCAGCTGAGCATCGCAGTAATCTGCTGCAGTATCATGCTGTCACACTATTAACACTATAACTAAGACTAATACAGACCTACTCATGTTTGTAAACCTCAATAGTCCTGGTGGATAGGGAACCTCTGTACATCTGTTGTCATATGGTGTACCTCAAATGTTACAACAACAACATATTATTATTATTATTATTATTATTATTATAGGTCATACAATATCTAATAATATAACGTTTATTTTAAGTATATTGAAATTACAAGCTTGGTGGATAATCTCTGAAACGAGTCAGGTGCATTAACAGACACTTTCAGGATGAGGGGGGGGGGGAATCCAACGTTAATCATAATCCAACATGGGTTATGTAATATCTGGATGAGCTGATATTGAGGGATGAAATGATGAAAAACTCAGACAAGCAAAGTGAGGAGCGAAACGTGTGTTTTATTTGGAAATTAACCGCTGACATGATTATTGTTAACATGTGATACATCCATACATGCAAAAAACCAATAGCATACTGTACATTACATGTGTCCATTTATAATGATGAAAATATAGAGAAAATTGTTATGGCCTATATTTAACCACATATAACTAATTTGAAAGTTTGTATATGGTTATTCATTTATTTTATGACTTGCTTTTTATTCATTACGTATAATGAAGGTTTTTCCTATAAGTAGGTCTCCAACTAATTAGTTTCATTATCAATTAATCTAATGGTTTACAATATGTCAGAAAATAGTGAAAAACGTCAATCCCAGTTCTCCAAGTCTAAGGTATTGTCTTTGAATGTGTTGTTTGAAAGTCCAAGACGAATCCTTATTCAGTTTAGTGAGATTATTCTTCTACTGCAAGTCGAATAGTTTATATATACATATATATATATATATATATGCCTCTACAGTTAATTGCAAGGTGTGGTGAGTTAGGTATGTCAACAAAACACATTTCATTTATTTATACATTTCTTATGTTTGTGTAAAATAGTAAAGCATGTTAATATATATTCTTGCACACATTCCATTATCATTTGTACTCACATTTTCCTGTTCCTTTCTGTAAATTGGTTTTCCCTACGTTCATAGATTAGCCCGTCAGACTTTGACAACTGATGCAAAAGGCTTGAATTGCTTGAATACTAATAGTAATATGATATAATATAATATACATTTACGTATAAATTAATCACATATCCACTTTAATCATAAATAGTTTGTGCACCCAATTGATTTTAACAACGTATTTTCAGTTTCATAGAAGTGAAGTCACATACAGTGTACACAGTACATATTTACAGCCCAGGTGTCTAAAACAATCTAATCTATTATAACATGGTTAAAAACATAATAAATATGAATAGAGTAGCAGTTAGGGATAGTTTCACAGTTAATCCCGGACCAGGTAACAGACGGGCGGAGTTTGATCTTTCGTTTGTTACTTTTCAACCACCATTAACCCCGTCCTTACGGCACATTCCGTGTACAAAAAGGAGCGCTTCGGTTACACGTGACGTTACTTTCAGACCAGAATAGTTGCGTTAACTGTGATTTGAGTTGTAGCATGTACACACTCTGCGAGCTGAGGAGCCAACAGAATAAGGAGTGGGTAATGTCATGCTCAGATTCATAAACCTTTTTATTTCAACCATGTTTTATCAAAGCAAACCGTAATCGAACTTTAGCATGTTTACCTTTTATGCGTTTAGTCGAGTTCAGACGTAGCAACTATACATGTCAGAGAGCTAACGTTAGCTTACCCTGATCCAGGACGTGTGGCATTCATTTCGCTGCCTTTAAAGTTGCTGCACATAGATGGTTGATGAAACAGAAACATTGGAAGGCAGTAAACTCGTTAGTGTTGGATGAGGAGACTTCACATCGCCGTCAAGTGTGTAAAGTTGCAGAATCAAGTATTTCATCGAAGGAGCGCAGCATACGGCTCTGAGCGCAGCTAGCTATGCCTGTGGCGGGAACTTCTTCCTCGCTGCGCCTAGAGTGGTGTTGTTCGGCGCTCAGTGCTGCTAATAGTGGCGAAGAGGTGTAGTGCAAAAACACTGTGATTTAAGTGCTCATTAGACTGAAATGTAGCTTCCACTCATTGGCACTGGCAGCCCTAAAAATTAGCACTCTGGTAGGTTGTCGAGGGAAAAAATAATGTCCATGTTGGACAAAACATTGGATGCATCATTTTTCCGCTGACCTGAATGACACCGGAGTAAGTCGTGTTTTGTTGCCGTGGGCAAGCTGAACATAGATGAAAGGTCTCCTGAACAGTTGCTGAATCTAACTACTGCCCTCCGATGTGTTTTACAACATTTTAATATTCATCAATCGCAGCAAACTTACCTTACTAACACAGTAACAATGTGGGCCGGATATTACAACTGTACTCGGTTAGCCAGGCGACCGGATGATGTCGTTTAGTCAGTGTGGTTAATGTCATGCAACGTGTAACGCTAAACTAACTAGCTATAGATTCAGTTGGAGTTGTTCAGTACTAACACCTGAGTGGCAGAGGTGGAAGAAGTATTAAGATCGTGTATTTAAGTAAAAGTACAAAAGTATTAGCATTAAAAATATACATAAAGTAAAATAATCCATTATGCAGATGACCAGTTTCATAAGAAATATATATTGTGTTATCATAGCTGGAAAAGGTGTTTTAATGATTTTTTATGCTTCAGGGTGTAATCAAAGTCCTATTTAAGCATTGACTATATTTCACATCATTCATTCAAATCTGCAAAGTAACGAAAGATATTAAATAAAGGTAGTGGAGCAAAAGTACACGATTTACATCTGATTTGTAGTAGGGTAGAAGTACAAAGTAGCAACACATAGGCAAGTAAAGTACAAGTCCCTTAAAATTGTACTTAAGTACAGTACTTGCGTAGCTACCTAGTTACTTTACACCACTGCTGACTTGCTTAAGTTAACTAGTTAGTACGTCCCTCTCTCCTGCACGCATGTTCAAGGACTAAAGCTTCAAGAGTTACATTTGTTTTTTCCCCCTCAGATAAATGTCTTCTCCAACTCAAGCAGACGACGATGAGGTGGAAGAAGTGGAGTTTGTATCAGTAAGTCGAGTGTACACTATCTATTTTTTTTTTTTTAAATCAATAGTTCAAAGGATAAGATATCAAATACATGTGCTTACTTTCTATCTCTCTGCATTGCCATGACTCATTGCGCAATAACACCTGGATGTAGCCTGATACTAAGACATCATTCATAAATATATCGTATTTGATTAACTGAACAGCTCCATGTATCGTCTGACTAGCTGTGATTCAGACATAGATCACCTCTCTTATCATGGGCAATAAAGAAATCCCTCTTTTCACATTGTACAGGTTTGCTCATTATTTGATTTTTATATAGATATGTTTAACAAGACTAAATGACATGGTGTCTTGCATTTGCTTCAGGAGGGGCCTGCCAGACCAGTATTGGAATGTATTGACCTGGATGATGAGGATGAGGGATGTCCCTCATTTGCAAGGACAGTAAGTTGATGAATAGAATATGTTTTGAATAGACAGTGTCGGTCTAGCGTTTATAAAATTGTTGTGCCTTTTTATTTTCCTGCAGATTGAAGATAAAATCTCCCGCAGTAAAGCTCGTGTTTCATCAACATTGGACAGACTAGCACAGAAGGTGGCTCTAGAGAAGCAGGAAAGAATAGATAAATGTCGGGCATTCAGGGTAAGTTTCTTTAAAAGGAAGTAAGCTGCTATCATGTCTTTCTTGTTAGATACTTAACTTTCTTTTTATTTTAGTTAAGAGGAAATGTGATATAAAATGCTTCGTAGTCATTCATTTGTTGTTGGTATAATATGGGGTCAAATGAGGTCAGTTGTGGCAGCAACACTGCCATCTTGTGGGCAGAATGCATAATAGACAACCTACAGAACCAACAGTGGTGTATCCTCTCAGTGCAACATCATACTGCTTGTGACCTAAAGAATTAGCAATAAACAGTGTCTGTAGGTGTTTTTACTGCCACCTGTCTGTCTGCCACATAGGGTTGAAAAGTGTACAAATATGTTCTGCTATTGCTTATCTTTTTCGGTCTTACAGGAGAAGCAAATCCTACAAAGAGCTCATGGACGGCAGGAGCTGGCTTTCACTTCTTCAAATGGCTTCAATCAGGATGCAAAGAACTGTGTGGACATGTGGTTAAAGAGAGCAGGTGCCATTTTTATATTGATCAGAAATGTGTTATTGTCAATCTGGAGTTTATAAACCTTGAACACATGTTTGATATTTTTACCAGGAAAATATTTTGTCCTACTGAAATAATTACCTTAACTGCCATCATTGAAATGTGATGAAAGAGCACCCTTTTTACAATGGTTTATTACATTGTATCTTATTTATTACATCATATATTTAGGTCCTAAACCTGGAGTGATTCATTCTGGATTTGGAGGGCGAAACAGACGTGTTGCTATTCCTGGAAATAGTTCCAATAGACAGACTTGTCCAGTGGTCAACTGTGCCCGGGTTTATGACACTCTGTCCCTTCTTGACGGTCACCTAAAAAGGTAACCTTTTTCTGTTCATTTGAGAATCGGTGTAATACCATTTCAACGTTTTTCCTGAATATAAACATAGCATATTTTTGCAATAACATATCTTATTTGTAGGTTTGATCACTCCCCTTGTGACCCAACCATTCATATTAAAGGATGGCCATCTGAGTTCTTTGCCTGCATAGCCTGCTCTCAACATTTTGAGACCGAAGAAGCATGGATAACACATCTCATGTCTAAGGTGTGTGCCCTTTTTGACTCTCATATAACACACATATTGTTTTATGAATGATTTCCTAATTAGTTTGTATTACATCTTCGTAATATTATAATTATTTTGTAAGGAAACATGTTTTGATCACTAGGTGTCCTCATCTGCCGCTGACGGTCACAGCATCAATCAGACCTTTCAGAAGATTGTGTGTTTCGCCTGTCCGGCCTGCTTCCACCTCTTCAACCTCCGAGATGAGTGCCTGCAGCACATGACAACCAGAAACCACTTCACAGAGTCACTCGCCATGAGTGGTAAAGTTTAATGAACGCTTTCTAAACATGTTCTAAAGAATGACTTCCAGAAAGCACTCAAGGTCACATTTGAGCAATACTTATGTAAACCTTTTCCTTTTCTCCTCTTGTTAAAGAACCCAAAGGAAGAGCACAACCGATTGCCGTCCCACAATACGCTAAGAATCGTCTCGTCGCGTTGTGCAAGGATGTCCCGTTCAAAGTCCGATGCTCTTTATGTCACAAAGTACTGATCTCACATCAAGCAGCTAAGGCTCACTTTAAGTAAGTTATTTAGAGACTTATTCAGTATGTGCATGTATGCTTTTTGAAATAATACATTATGTTTGTATAGCAGGTGCAGATTTTCTTTAGAGGCTTTATGAAGCAGATTTCTCAAATAATTGTTCTTTATATATCCTGTTTTTCAGTGTGCAATGCAGAGATGGCTGCGCCGTGTCCTTGGCCGATCAAACCATATTGCAGGTGATGAAACGGCTGCAAGTGGCCGGGCAGTGTTCCCTCTGCTCTAAAATCTTCCTCAGCAAAGCTGAAATCAAGACACACAAAGAATCGACCCAGCATGACGTGGAGGTGAACAACACCATGGCCAAAGCCCTCCTTCAGTACTGCAGGTTTAGGGAGATTCAACACACCCAGAGCGCTGGAGAGGCACAGGGCAGAAGACAGCCCACTGGCCTTGAGTCACCTTCTCAAAAAAGAACCAAGAAGAAGAGTGATTGTGATGAACTTCCAGCCAAGCGTAAGAGAGGCAGCGCTGTTGGAAACTATGTAACAGCCTGGATCTGCGAGTGCAGCATACAGTTCTCAGAGGAGGCTACAGCCCAAAAGCATATATTGGCTTCAAACCAAATCTTCCATCAGTGTGGCGTGTGTGGCAAACACATGGGGGAGTCCGCCATCACCCGCCTTCATATGAGTCGCTTCCACGGAGGAGCTCATCTCTCCAACTTCCTGTATAACTGCCGCAAGTGCAACGTGGAAATGCCTCGGTACGAAGACATCATGTCTCACGTGGCCGAGGCTCACAGCGGACACACCTACTTCACTGAACAGGAAGTGCCCGAGAAGGTCCATACCAAGCCTTCAACCAGCAGCAAAGCAGGTTCATCGTCCGGGTCCAAGCTCCAACAGAACATAGCAGAGACGTCTTCTTCCAACGCAGAGCCGATGTGGATGTGCAGGATGTGCGAGGACACCTTTGACTCGGAAGCGGCCGCACGCCAACACTGCAGCGACTCGAGCAGCCACAGCTTCCAGAGGTTCATCTGTGGACACTGCCCCCAGAAGTTCTTTAAGGATTCCACTGTGCGGAGACACTGTGCCAATGAGCACGACGGGCAGATAAAGAGCTCCCACTTCTGCGGCCTCTGCGACAGCATGCCGTTCGAAACAGAGGCCGAGTTCCTGGAGCACTACAAGAGTCTTCACAGTACCGACTACTACCGTATGGATGAGAGTTCAGCCAATCAGCCTGCTGTTGCTCAAAGCAGCAGTCAGAGTATGTGCCCGTGCATGGGTTCCAATCAGAGCCAAGAGAAGAAAAAAGCTACATTTACACAATGCATGAGGTATCTGTCTGCTGAGGGAGCATGTCACTTTGTGTGCACTCTTTGTGGTGAATATTTGGAGACCTATGCAAAGATGAAGACTCACATCCACACGAAGCACGCAGCCTTGAACCTGGACAAGACCTACGAAATACAATGCGAAGCTTGCCAGGAGAGTTTCACGAGTGTCCCGAGTTTCCATAAACACTATCACTCCCGACACTGTTCAATGGAACCTTGCATGAGCTCCAGGACCTGCAGGAAAATCACAAAAGCCGAATCATCCCCTGTGACAGTGCTCAATGCCGTGGAGATCATAACAGACACCAATGGTAAATCTGTTAAAAATATGAACATGTATTATCTTTGTTTGCATGGAGCATTTTAAACCTGTTTTTTTATTTTTGTCATTTCTAGAGATTGAAGATGAATCCGTGGTGAAGGTTTTGAGAATGGAACCGGCCGTCAGACAGAAGGAAGCATGTGGAAGTAGGTGATAAACGATACATATCACAATCACTCAATAGATAAGATGGCAAAAGCACATTTTAGCTTTCTTCTACTTGTATACAAGAGACAACGATATTAGATTATTTGATGGTATTTTTATCAACCTACAACATATCAACTTTTATTTTGCTTCTTTACAGGTGATTCGGAGGAAGAGATGAACCATGAACCCTCTTCAAATGCAGAAGAAGAAAGAGAGTCGGCAGGTTAGGGTTGTTGTGGCTTGGCATGTATTCCTCGTTTCCCCTGAGTTTAACTTACTGCAGCCTCCGGAGAAAAAGAAAACATACAAGTATTAGGTCGAATTGACATTTACACATCATAGTTACAGTGTTGCGTTTTCTCGTTTTTTATTTTGTGTAATTTGACTTTGTATATTCAGCTTTTTTTGTTTTACAGAGATGGAAGAAGTTCTCAGAAGAAGTCTTTTGGAGTTTTGAAGACATGATGTTTTTTGTTTGTGACACAATGCTTATCTGACATTATATTGCGATGATTTGTCCTAAGTATTTGTGTTCAGAATATAATAAATAAATTCAAGTTGCTATTTGAATTTTTCTGCGGTTTAAACTACTCTGGAAATGTCCCAATATATGATGACATAAAGAAATGATGATATAGGGCTTTCACATAACAGGGTTCAGAGCAGATGCAGCTGGCAGAAGGTATTTTTTGTGGCGGTGGATTTATGGTTTCTGTTGTGTAGACTCCACACTTGTGTGTCGACACTTGCTAAAGATGGCATCAAATGACACTGCAAAATGTTGAAGCTGAACTTGTGACCACAGGGCAAACTGAAGCTCACATTGCAGTCTCTGATTTCATTGCAGACTTGAAATCCAGTGTCTTGTATTCGCCGTAGGGAGCAGGGCCGACGTTTGTATGGAGACATGTCTCAGTCTTCTTCAAGTTAGGATAGTAAACATTTCCTGATTAGCACTACAAAATGGCAATAAGGTTTTCTCTATGTTGCAGTAATTATGCAATTATTATGTGGGTAATTTGTTTTCAGTATAGCCTAAATCAAAAATAATAATATAGTAAAATATAATAATTGCTGGAATGTTTCAAAAAGGGATTAAAGGGCTGAAAATATTAAACTGTGCAACAGAATGTAATTTTAAAATGCCCAGCTGAGTACATTTTTGTGACACCAAACACTACACATTTGAAACATTAACCATTATAAACACATATTTTAACAGTCTGGCTACATGCCCTGCAAATGTTCTATCTTTCTGAATGTTGTTGCTCACATCCCAGGCGCCTTTGCGCTGACAAACTTATTTTATCTTATGTTATATGATATGTTAAAAATGAACCAGTTAAAAGGAACAGTAGGGCTCCAAAAATTCTACTAATTGGAGGACCTGCCTGTTTTCAAAAACTGCATGCTAAGAAAAAATGGCAAGCCGATTTAGCTTTTATTCATTTCATTGTAAATTTGAACTAGTTAAAAATCTTTTTTTTATATCAGGAATTCAATTGTAACTAGTTATAAATAGAAATTGAATTATAACTAGTAGCAATTGAATTCCTGATGTAAAAAAAATGATTTTCAACTACCGTAGTTGAAATTGAATTCTCAATATCAGAAATTGGTATTTTTACTAGTTCAAATGTAATTGTAGACTAACTAGTAACAATTGAATTACTGATATCAGAAATTGGCATTTGAACTAGTTCAAATTCAATGATATCAGAAATAAACATCAACTAGTAAGAATTTAATTTTTGATATCAAGAATTTGCATTCTTATTAGTAAGAATATATATATTTTATATCCTCAAGAAATGAATAAAAGCTAAATCTAAGCACTTCTGGGAATCTTCTGGAGCTTCTCAGGGGCCTGCAGGGGTCCTCGGACCTGACTTTGGTTACCACTGTATCTGGACTCCTCGGGAAGCTTCTGTGAGTGAAAGAAGCCGCAGCCCATGTTAGGAAATGTTCTCCCTGGGGCGCTGCTGCAATCAGCTGGACGGAGAGGAGTGTTGATCGCACACAGGATTTCTCCCCGGCACGGATCTTAACAATCATCATATTAAAAAGCATTCACCAACATGGCTCAAGCTAAAATACAGGCGAAAATGAACGACGCTATGGGCAGCAAGTTCAGCAGGACGCTGTCCATGGCAGATCGCTCCGGACAACTCCTGGAAAGTTTGGATCAGCTGGAAATGAGGTACAGTGAAGTAACAGGCCGTACCATGTGCGATCAAAAATAGGGCACTTGAGCGGATATTTCAGGCATTATCCACATATATCATAGCTTGATTAACTGATACAAAATATATAGAAATTTAGAAGAAAACGGATGTAGTCCATAAGATCTAATTCAATAGTTTCATGATAATATAATTGGGTGTAATTAGGCATTTTAGTAAGATAATACTCTAAAATGTTATAGAATACCAGATGGTCTTGTTATTTTTACTCTCGATTTGCAACAGTCCGTTATTTTTCCAGAGGAGGATGTGGTTTTTAAATGGAAGCCGGTTGTCATGTGTTGTTGTCGGTGTGTTTTAGGGTGGAGGCTTTACGCGAAACAGCATCGGCCATGGAGCAGGAGAGGGAGCTGATCCTGGAAACGATCCAGTCCATCCAGAACGGACAGGAGCTGAGAAACGTCTCTCAAGGTGAGACATACGTTTACTGTGCTTATTTCATGACTTGTACAGTCTGATTCCTTGTGTGACTGTGTAGCAGTCGCTCATTAATGGGTAATCTGCTTTATTTGGCTGCTCCTCTGATTTCATTGTTACATTGTGATCCAATGAGGTTATGCTTTGAATGCTACATTGCAGTTGGGTGGTGTTGTTTAACAACCTCAGGCACTCCACCCAAGAAAAGAGGGCCCAAGTTTAAAGAGTTTGTCTTCCTCATATACTTGATATTAAACAAATGGTTATTACATGTAATAGTCAGTGTTTCCTAATTTCCCATTTAAAGGTCACCTATTTTGCAAAATACACTTTTTCATGTCTTTTATACATAAACATGTGTCCCCTCTGTGTAAAGAGATTCTGAAAGTTTCAGGAAAAAAGATTCTCTCTTTTTCTCCTGATCCATTTATATAAAAACCTGTCTGAAAATGAGCTGATCACATACAGATCAGAAAGAGATGAAAAATGACCACAAACAAACATAAAATGACCAGAAAGAGACACGAAAAGGCCACTGAGACACATAATGACTACAAAATGACCACACACAAACAACAAAAATATGCACAACGACTACAAAAAGACTAAAAAACAATGCTTTGGGCGGTATGCATGTCTGCCCATTGTGTCTAATCCACCATCTGTAGGAGGATGCTGGAGCACAAACTCGACAAGGATTTGACACCAGAATCTTCATGTGTTTTTAATTATTGTGTCCGCCTCTGTATAGTCAGTGTATTTTGCTATTTAAAGATGCAGCATTCATTTATTACTTGTTTTGTATCTTTTAGGGGAGAGAGAAGAGTTGTCTCTAACTGCCAACCGTCTGATGGGCCGGGCGCTGTGTGTGGAGGTCTCTGTTGGCACCATCAGGAACTCCCAGCAGGAGGAGGCCCTGCGCAACGCCAATTCTTTAATCGATGAAATAGTGAGGAAGTTGCTTGATGACATGAACAGCGGGCGTGAGCGACTGCTGGCCGTGTACGCAGCCTGTGTGACCGAGGCCCCCCCCGTCCCCATCGACCAGAAGTTTCAGGCCCTAGTGATCAGCTGTGCTCTGGAGGACCAGAAGAAGATCAAGAGGAGGCTCGAGACTTTGGTGAGGAACGTTGAAAATGCTGGAAAGAACATCAAGATTATGGATCACCAGAAACTGGAGGACCCACAAGCCAATGGCTGTCAGTAACACCAGTCAACAAATCAAAATGCTTCTTTTATGCCACTAACCTCACCAAGAACTGTTATTATCTTATACTAATGTTCTACAAGTAGCAGCAAGACCAGTACATTGGGGAAATTACAATGATACTGAACATTAGGGCCAAAAATACAGTAACTCATACTGAGGGAGGTGTTACCTTCAAATTATTGCCATTTACACTGAATCTCTTAATATAGATTATTTAGTGTGTATTTCCAGTTCACAATGTGTGATCACATAATGCACTTACGTAAGAAAGACACAATGTTATAGAGCCCCATTAGAGGTAGTCACAGTTCTTAGTAAAACCAAATGTATGACAATGAATCTAATGAAAGTATTTCCTGTTTCATTGTATCACCTTGGTAACTGTTTTGGTTGTGTGTAAACTACCTCTGTGTGAAAGCAACACCAATCACATTTAGCTGTGGGTTTTTTTGTTCACATTTGCACAAAGTAATTTTGATGTCAGATTGTACATGTATGTCAAAAACATAATAAAAAATACATCTCTTAAATGTTAAGGAAAGACGTCTTCTGTCACAATAGAGGAAGCTGGGACATCTTAGCGTATGAACAATGGCAATGATCAAAATGCAAAAACATATTTTATTGTTAAGTTTTGTTTAAAAGAGAAATATTATCACTTGGAATTAGACACTGGATGCTCAAGAAAAAAGTAAAGTTTTATTAATGTCATATAACCATCAACTCCCCACCACAAACATAATATTGGGTGTGCAGTTGTGTGGCACACTTCAAAGCTGTTATACTTTTTTTTTTTCACTGTTAAAAACAAAAATCCAACAATGAGTGTTGTCTTTGTCAGTCTGAAAGCAAACATCTAAATGTGTGAGATTGATTCATGAAGTGTGATAAGGTATATTAACACAAAGATCATTACAACACCTGAGTGACAGCACATAAGTATGGTTAGTTTTAACTTATGGTTCTTTAAGATTATATGCCATCTTAATGATAAAGTGCGCTATATCCATTCAGTCAAAAAGCAAAAAAGGCAAAGTACACACGATGTTACAAAGCTCAGGAAACAATTATTTACAGATTTACTGTGCAGGCAGTTTTAAACAAACAGCAAGAGTAGGGATTAAAATGGGAAGAATGTAAACAAGGACGACTCATTGTAACCGCGGTTCAACAGTCACTGATGTGGAAAAAAAGGCTTGCATGCATTATAGTTAAGACACACTCTTCCCCCCCCCCTCAAAACAGTGCAACCAAATGAGAACTCCTAAATTGTGACACAATAAACTGTAACATCTTAAAAGCACCTGTTGGGATTTTCACAACCGTCTTATCTAAATGTCTTGAGAATTACGTTTTTTTAATCTTTTAAATCTGGGAAAAGCTTATAGCAATAATCAGAGATCTGTAAATCGAGCATGTTTACTCCCAGTTGTCCAATTGCATGTAAAACATTCAAATAATTCATATGCAAATGTTCAAATTGTCTGTTAGTGGCCTTTTCCACATCACCACATTCTTTTTGTGCTTAGGAAGCTGACGTCTTTCAGATAATGAGCTTTAGGAAAACCTGATGCAGACAAGGCAGTATCATAGAGTTCTCAGCTAGCTGTTTTGAGGTCTGGGAATTAGTTTAGAGATCTTTTAAGTACCCTTGTGTATTGAGAAAAAACGGAATTTTCTTGCATATTCAAGCACACCCAAGCAAAAGATCCCATCCTGAAGATCGGCTTTTCGTACCGACACTACTGATATCGACATTTACAAAATAAATTGATTACATACTGCAGAAGCCAAACCATTGAATCAAAAACAAGAAATTAAACCATGCTTAGTGATTGAAATGTTAAAAATATAGTGTTTGAAATAATAAAAATAGAGCTGTGTCGTCTAAATAATAGTTTTTAGTCTGCGACTTACCACGTGTAATTCAAAGCTGTACCAAAGTTAAAGAAAAAGCCCAATTAAATATGTAAACAACTGCAATCAAAAACGCATCGCTATAACTGCGACTCGCGTTTTACATCTGTGAAAGTGTTGATTAACAAACCCTCAAACAAGCTGTAAGCAGACATAGATAAGACCAGTTAGTGTTTCATATTTGGTTATACGTAAAAGCACATTCTATTATTGTATGATACATCCATGTCACTGCAGTGTTCATATTTATCTACAGCTCGGAAAGAGGGAATTTGGCACTATGTCAACACTTCAGTGAAAATATCACTCAACACTAGTGATTCGTACAAAAATACTTCTGCACAGAGAATAACTGGATCGTGTTTTGTCCACAATAAACAGAATAGTTTAAACCAAAAATATGGTTTAAAATGATCTGTGAATCTTTTACAATACATGCAAACAGACTATATGTCAAACACGGGATGGGTGAGTTTAAAAGTCATACAGAGTTTTCACAGAGTGCAACGTTTGCTGTTTTGACGAGAGGATTGTATGTCATGTGATGTATAAACTACATACAGTACTGTAGTGTAGCTGCAGCTGTTGCTGTTACTTAAGGCAACCACAAGGAAAATATTTTGTGCGCAGGTCATTGGTGGAGATCCAAGGCGGAATCAAAGGAAATGTAACCATCAATGTAGGGGAACAACTTAGGGTACAGAAGAATCATCAGGTTATTAAAGTAGTATAGAGGAGTATTTCCCAGTCTGTTTGGGCTTTGGTCTCTAAATGTGGCTACCTCCACAGAATACAACAATGACCAATTTAGTCTTAGAAACAATAGTCAGTAACTAAAACTCAAATATGTTTTATCTAAATTAGGCTGCAGCTTCCAAAAGGATTTTTACTCTTCTTGGTCCTTTGTTTGTTAGGTCGTAAGGAGATGACTTCTCTGCCGTTGCTGGAGCTCTGGTTGCAGACATTACTACTCGTGGTATTAAAAACACCTAAAAAAAACAACAAATCTAGCATTAATATCATTCTCATAAAGTAATCAAATGTGACATAATAAAGAAAGAAAGTCTCCTCACCTATTTTATTGCTGGTTGTATGGAGCACCTCTGTCTCCTCTGCCGTTTGCTGTTTGAGCCGCTGAAGGTACTTATCAGCTAAGTACTTAAAAACTAGAAAAAGAGCAGAAATATTCAAGTATTAACAAATCTAGAATTATACTGTTTCACTTGCAGGTTTTTTATTTTTCAGTAACCCACCCTCGTTGACATTAAGGTCCTCTTTTACTGAAGCTCGATAGAATCTCAGCTTGAGCCTTTTAGCCAAACCTTCTGCCTCCTCGCTGCGATGCAAGGAAAGAAAATCAATTACCATGTTTCCTTAATATTCAATAGCTCTTCTGTTCTAGTGTGATTTCTGCACGAAAGAAAACAACCACTTACTTTTTTACAACGGTGTCTTCCAGGAGGTCTATTTTGTTCTGCACTAGGACTGTGGGGATATCTCCCACCTCGGCTTCCACCTTCTCCCTCCAGCTGTCGATAGCCTGAAACGACTCTCTGTCTGTGGTCGAGAACACCAGCACACATGCTTGGGCACCTGGAATGCAAGACGACAGTTAATGTTTTCAAGCTGTTCATCCTTTTAAAAATGATACATAACTCACCCCCTCCCTCGAGGATGTGAACACATTTGGTGGACTTCCGAACCGCCCCACTGGAGATTCACTTTCAGCTAGGGCTGCTCAATGAATCGTATATTAAAATCGCAACTACGATTATGACTTGCAATGATTACGAAAACAATGTAATCAAAATAAAACGATTATTTTTTTATTATTACTTTTAAAAAAATTTTTTTTAAGTATACTTAAAGTTCAGGGTAATAAACTGTTAAAACATACTGTTCAATTATTTTTTCTCCAATAAATTGATGTTTTCAAAGTAAATGGATAATCGTGATATCAATTATTGACCCAAATAATCGAGATTATGATTTTTGCCATAATCGTAATCATAACCATTCAGCTCAATTAAATATGTGCTAGTGCAAGTGTTTCTGTGCTGCCAGTTATCCGTACAATCTGAGAAATCTAAACTTAACCCCAGCAGCGAGGAGGGTCAGTGACCTGAGGCAGCAGGGTTATATTCGTCACAGTGGGAGGGGGGGGGGGTCTTACCTCTGTAGTAGGCCTTAGTAATGGCGTCAAACTCTTCCTGCCCGGCCGTGTCCCACAGCATAAGTCTGACCTCTTCGTCATTCACACTAAAACATAAGAAGGGATGGAGGATCATTGAAAAAATAGGCCGTAATTGATAGAGGAATGTGATTCTTTTGTGAATAACGTCACGCACAGTATCTGCCTTTCCAGGAAGTCCACCCCGATGGTCTTTTTGTAGTCCTTAGTGAAGATGCCTTTGCAGTAGCGTTGGATCATGCTGGACTTGCCGACAGCTCCGTTGCCGACCACCACCACCTTGATGGCCACTTCCATGTCCTCCTCCAACATGGTGGCGATGTCTGGCCGGCTCACTCAGTTCCACTCTGCCTGGGTAGATTTAGTGATGTGACACCAACACATATACCGCCTGCAAGTGTAATAAAAAATAAATAAAAAGCATATCTGTATGAGACATGTTCTGGAGCTCTTGTGCTGTGCCTGAGGAAACATTAAAACACTTCGTAGTGATTTTGTAAATGTTCCTACGCACTGATATGATTTATAATAACTGTTGTATGACGTTTGTATATTATGGATAAGCGGTCAAGGTTCAGGGTTAGTTTATTTGTATAGCACATTTTAAGACACAGAAGCAATTCAAAGTGCTTCACATAGGCATTTAAAACAAACAAAAAAGACAATTCATAAAAAGCGATAAAATACTGGCTGCAGCTAAAAGTGCAACGATAAAGGCACGGTTAAAGGATCTCAGGATAGGCAGCATTCAAATGAAAGGTCTGTAACCTTGATTTAAAAGAACACAGGGTTGGGGTGGACCTCATGGTCATAACATGAACATTTAGGATTACCACATAAAAGTAGTTCTGATTAAACTTATTGAATAAACAACACAACTGTTATAAGATGATTCTTATTCAAGCCTTAGCAGGTACAGGTGCAGTTATGTTACAAATCACTAAGGTGGCAACTGTCTGTTACCTTATATAAAAAAACATTTAATTACAAGATCTTAAAAGCAATTGCCTCCTTATGTTTTGACAACATTTCAAAAGTATCTTGTCGTAGTAATGTAATCACTAGCAGCAGCACAGGTTACCACCAGAACAATAGGAGAATTGTCCTGTAATCTGTTATGTATGCTAGCATTGATTTAACTGTTGTACATTTTACAAGGATCGTGTTTGCAGCGACCGTGCAATGTGTTTATGTTTCCATTAGCAGTGCGAGCAGCAGACTCCACATAGCAACTGGGTGATCCACAGTTCTAGGCGTGTAGCGGCTGAGTGCAAAGCTAAACAATACTGTGGGAAAGCTGTTCCCAGTGGGTACCGACAGCCTACTGTGTGACTGTGGAATCCAACAGTCTGTTCGGAATTGAGTCACAATATGTATTGCAGTCAACAATAGTATTCATCAACTATAATTGAGCTGAATGTTGTTATACCATGCAGGCAAACACGGCTTGAAGTAACCCCCTTGCTCTTTTTGTTGTGATGTGAATGTTTCAATGAGTTAAAAGGGAACTGAGGATTAGATGTGATCATGGCAAACTCTTAAATTGATCTAACTCATGTTAGGCAAAGTTTCAGGACGCATTCCTTTCTTTCAAAATTTGACTCAAAAGCTGAGTTACACATTAGCAGTCATCTCATCTTTCAGTGTAATCATTTAAAGATTTGTATTTAAAATGTGTATTAGGACCACAGAAACAACCGAGTGAAAGTAATGGGTTATGAAGTTGGTAAGTACTCTCCATAGATTGTCACTGCGCTACATGAATACCACAGAACAACATAATCGACATTTAAAAAAGGGTTGACTAGTCTCAGATAATCTGACAATACAGACAATTACTTATAAGGCCCTTTTAAAATATCATACTGTTAACACCAATACCACAGTTGGGCAATTAATTAGTAATGATCACTTAGTCTATCACTTTAATCACGATTAAGATGTGATATTTCTACTAACTGTGGATAAATCTGAAAATATCAGAAAGTTGGAAATCTTCCACAAATATTTAAAAAGAAAAACTGAACCTTCAACATTTCCAGCCACTCCTTTAACAGACAGGTGGTTTTCTATACCTGCGTCAGAAAACATCTTATCTACAGGTTCTCCTAGTTATCATGATGTGTTCTACTTACAATGAGATGATTAAACCTGTTCATACTCTATGTTTCAAAGACATGAGAAAAATATAATCGTATATTTTATTTAGCACAGTAGCAGGGTTTCATACAATGCACATTAAGGTGAACTCTGATACATGTAAAAATACACAATGTAGAAAAGAATACACCTCCTCTCCATAACAGTGAGTCATCTTCACAGACTCATCATCACTTTACCCAGGCCTGCCCCGTTAAAGTCAATATGTTGGGGCACATACAGTAGAGAATACTAATGTGATAATGCCAGTAGGAGTAAGTTGACTTTACTGATTCGGTTTAATGTTGCTGTAGGTTGCATCCCCAAAGAATTTGATGGAAGTAAGTATTTGTTTAACCTTTAATTCTGTTAAATTCCCTTAAATTAGGATTCCTTGCCTTGCTCAATAAATGATAGATAGATAGATAGATAGATAGATAGATACTTTATTTATCCCAATTTAGGAAATTGTTTTGCAATTTTGACAGTCATTGTACACTAATTAAAACATTTCTTAAAAATAGAATACAGAATTTTATAAATAAAATAAACATTAAAAAAGCAAATATATACATATGTATATACAAATGTGTATCACAGTAGAAAATACATAAATTCAGAAGAGATCTAAGAATACACACTATAACATTTACAGAATAAATGAGAATACTGTCTAATATACCAAAGGGACAGGAACATATACACTTATTCTACTATGACCTGTGTACTAAGACATGACCTGTTGAATAGGTGGCAGGATGGTCTTTAGGTACGAAGCAGCTGCTGGAACTGTTTAGTCCGTTACAGCTGACTAAAGGACTCACTGTGCTAGTGAGGAAACATGAAACACTAAAGCTAGCAAATCCATAGAGAGGGCAATTGCTTACCTGTAAAATCACGTTTCAACTCATCCAGTGTCTGCAAACATTAGATGAGCTCATCAGCCGGCTGAACCACAATCACATATCTCCAGCCTCCCTCTGTGGCAATAGGAGACGCTAGTGACTCCGCTGCTAAGGGCTTCCTAGCTAATGTTAGCCACTTTTCCCAGTGAAAAGAGCCTTCTCCTCCGCCCGTCAATGATATATAGCTAAAGACTACACAGACCGAATGTTCTACGCTTCAAAGCAACAGTTAAACTTTAATTAACATCGACAACTGAGTTGAATAAGTGACATGAACGGGATGAAAAAGCATTGCTATCTATCCGCAAGCCTACCTACGTTGCGCATGAGAGTAGCTAAAGGCAAGCAACAGGCTACTAGGCTAGCTGGCTAATGTTTGTTGCTAAGCAGCGGAGTCAAGTCTCCTTCTTCTACTACCTCTTGTTGTCGGTTTCCAAACAAGGACATATCTCATTAGCGACACCAACTGGTATGAATTGTGTATGATTCCGAATCAAGTTAAACCCAAAGTATCAGATATACAATAATTTATCATGCAGAATGGACAATTTTCAATTATATATATATATGAAAATATTGAGCAATCATTATGGATACATTCATGTAGCCTACTCATCGCTTTAGTGTTTCAGCAGGTAAAGGAGCTTATTCTAGATTATTCTTAAATACTGTATAGCTTTCTCCTTGTTAGTTTAATCTTTATTGATAATTGATACTATAGTAATTATTAATTATCATTATGTATTAGTTATTATATTTGTATGAATATAATTTGAACTACATAATAATACAAATGTAGTAAGGTAAAATAAACAGCATTTACATTTGATATGTGATAAAATAGCATACAAATGGATACAATTAAATTACTCATCAATAGTTTTTCCAAGTGAACCTTTAGAAAATAAAGCTTCAGAAAGCGTCTTGATAAATAACGACAGTTCCTTAATCTTGCAATTTAATAATATTCCTTTCAACTAAAAAGTCAGTTTTCAGTCATGGATTTCTGTCTGAGATGAACCACGTGTTTAGGGTGCGCTTGTTATGTTGTTCAGAATGATACTTCCGAAAGTTCCTGTTGCACATATGTCGACGGCGAAAACGGCAGTCATAAACATAACAACATGTATCAACTATTAATTCAAGCCGACTGATTGATAGTTATTCTGCAAAAATGTAAAAGGTCTAATTGTCTTTTCTGTATTAAAGTCATTATCATACGGCGGGTCACGCGGACAACCTAAACAAGCGCCCCCCACATTATGACAGCGTTCCTCTTCCTGACTGTGCTAAAATCGTCATCATTTACCCGCGTTTGTTGAACAACCCACTTTGTTTGGCGGGCTTGAGCAGAGAAGAAACAACCCCATCATTTTATCGGTAATTTAACAACAATACAACCTATTTTTATGTTTTAAGTACTTGTCGTATTTGTGTGATACGTTGCTGAGACAGTCTTAGACGTTTGCTGCCTTCAACACAGTTTCCAGGACAGTTTCTGTAAGATAGCAACCCTCACCACGAAGACGTTGCTGTTCTATGTTTGAGATAATGTGTTGTTGACTAATGTAACTGTGAACTGAGGGCTAACGGCCCGTCCACACAGCAGCGTACGTTGAAGCTTCAACGCTTCTGCCCATTCAAGGGTACAGGCTTTTTAGCTTGAGGGTTACAGACTAAATGTGAAAGCTAACAGCTATTGTACTGCTTAACACATTGTTATATAATGAATCGCTAGTTGGTATCATTAGTTAAGTGTAGTTGTCTTTCTTGTGGACTCACGGTTTCCTTGCCAGATTGTATACATCTTGTGAAATTAACATCATAATACACATTACTGAGTTTAGTGAAGGCAGCTGTGAAGGCACATGTCATTTAATTTGAGACTTTAAGTATTTTGCCTTCAGTGCACTATGAACGAATTTGCATCTCTATTGTTGCAGTTATAACACATTGTGACAGGGAGAAATGCTTTCTGCATGAATATTCACCCAGTCTTTACCCTTCTATTTACAGTTGGATTATGATTTGTGGTTTGTAGAAAGTAGAAAAGTTATTGGGACTAAATATGCATTTTATTATGCTTTCCAATATATCTTTATTTGATCGAATCCCTAAATGCCTGCCCCCTGGTGTGGGCAACATAGATGGAACATTGATTAATAGCAGTAAAGCACGGTACATTGGAGAGTCATGCAACTTGTTTTTAGTTTCTTAGGGTTCTCAAATAAAAAATTGCACCAAATATACCCCCATGGTGAATAGTAATAGCCTATCGTCTTGTGATGCATTATTGTCCATTTTTAAAACATTCATGTTTTCCCTTACCATCAGGAACCATGCAGTTTTCAAGCAGGAGAAGGAAATTCACCAACAACTCTCAGACGGAGCTCTATAGTCATCCTCTGCAGTTCTACGGGCAGCCTCCTCTGGAAAACATCTCTCTCACAGAGTTTGAAACCTTTGCTGTGGAACGACTTAAATGTAAGACCTGGAACTCATGCAGTCTAACTAAATGTCAAATGTTCGTTGATTTCTATGTGACTGTGTAACATTTAAAACGTCTTCTTTTAATGCCACTGCAGTGTTGAAGACCATTGACAATTTGGGAGTGAGCTATTTGAAACTCTCAGAGCAGTACACAAAGAAACTGACAGCTGAATCCAAAGCGCTGAACTTTCTTTACAGACCCGAAGCTGTGAGTATGTTTAGCAAGACACACAACAGAGTTTTACACGTTTTTACACAGCACTGATCCAACATGTTTATAGATACTTAGGGCTTCACACTGTAATCCTATTTTGCTTTCCCTAAATTAAACTCAGTTGCCACTGTATTGTATTACTGACCAGTGCTCCTGTTATTGAGCCTACACTCGTTGATATAAACATACAAAATAATTGAAATACCTGTCGTGATATGTAATACACTTCACAACAGCTCAACAATCAGCAGTGTCCAAAATGACCACAAGTTGTAGATGAACCTGCTGTATCTGTCGGGTAGACACTCATAAAGACTATACAGCTACAAACAGGGTCAAATTGACTTAGAATGTTAGTGTTTCCCCTATATACAAGTAGTGACAGCGAAGCGCCGCTGCTGAAATATGCGCGCCGCTGCTATGGGGCGCCAGTCAGGTACCCAAAAAAAAAATATATATATTATTTACTAATAATAAGTGGCGACCCTTTTTCATTTTTGATTGTTTATGTGGATTTGTAGTATTGTGTTACTGTATGTTCAATAAATGTGTATATTTGCTAAATCTTGAGACATTGCCACTGTATGTACTGGCAGGGCTGATTTTTGGCATAAGCGGTGGCCTAGGGCGCCAGATCTGGGGGGGCGCTGCGCTGGTAGCTCTGGGAGGGGAAAAAAACATTTTTGACCATTGGCGCTTATCCTAATTTTTGGCCTTGATGTAACAACATTCATAATTAAGTAAATGTCACACCATTTTCATCCCGGTTACACTTTTCATTTGCCCTGTACGATGGGCGCTGTAAGTGATGAAAGTGGGGGATGTTGGCTTCTCAGGCGCCCGCAGCTCACAGCCAAAGTTCGAGCATGGAAGCGAGAGAGAGAGAGCGAGCGAGGGAGGGAGAGAGAGAGAGAGAGGGAGAGACCGCGGTAACCGGCGCTGTTGTTATTAGAATCTGGTGCTTAGCTGCACTAACGGATATAGAAGTAGATGTTTTCTACATGCTACCAGTGTCTTGCAGGAACAAGCTTCCTCCTGTCAGACTGAGAGCTTCAAGTGAGGTATAAGTATCTGAGTGTTTTCACGATAGTTTCTAATTTTAGTCTATAGTTATCTCAGTGGGTCTCTTATTCGTTTTTGACCCATTATGTAAACACATATTTCCAGGCACTCCTTTCTAATTATTAGGATACATAAAACAGGTTTCAAATCATTCCAATGTATACTATAAGACCCAGTAGAAACCAAAAATATCGGTTTAAAGTTGGGAGAGATACAAAAATGTGCATGAATTGCTGGGAATAGTTACGTGTTTAGTAGGATATGACATGTAACACAACATAAAATAAGTTACATTTATTGTGTTATTGGCTATGGTAGGTTCTCATGGTTTATGTTCACATATACTTATTTGATTATTAAAAATGTAAACCGTAATCTTTTTCACTATGGGTGTTTTTTTAGGAGTTGTACCCCAGATCAGGGCGGCCGTATTCACAAAGGATTCTTAGGCCTAAAAAGCTAGCTCGCTGAAACTGGCGAATTTAGGGAAAACTCCTAAACATAATGCGCGTGTCCAGTTCATACATTTAGGCTTCCTTATTTGTAGTTCACTAAGACAATTCCAAAGTCTTTTAGGCACTAAAAGTATGCCACCTAGGTTAGGAGAGCTTATCAAGTCCTAGGGATGACTCCTAACTCATGTATAAGGACCGTATCCATCATAGATCTGAAAATGCCTGCGTAATTCGAAATGTTTTGGAAGAGCAATTGAAGACTGTGAATTTGATCAGGAAGATATGAGGCTAAATCGTGGAGGGTATCCTCTAACTTGTTATGGAAAATAAAAATAGTTTGGCAACACTACAATATTTAGCAACAGGGAAAATGCAACTTTGCAATGCCGACGATTTAGGAATATCGCAACCATCAGTCAGCCGTGCCATAAACCAACAGTTTATCCGGTTTCCTTTGGACAATCAACAACTACACAGGATCAAAGCCAACTTCATGGCAATGCAGGTATGCCCGGTGTGGTCGGTGCTATTGACGGGACGCACATAAAAATAATTGCGCCATCAAAAGATGAGGACGTGTTCGTCAATAGAAAGAAAGTACATTCCATCAACACGCAGATTTGTTTCTATTCATCATGAGTAGGGGGACTTGAACGGCGGTATGGGCTGTTATTGAAAGTGTTTAAGTGCTGGAAATATGCTCATTGGATAATAGTTTGCAGGGTGCTTTTAATTGCCTCCTCGATTTAATGCAATTTACGTATTTTTATTGTTTGCTCTCTCTCTTTAACGTGCATATACAACGTCATTATCGTGGTCTGCACAAACTTGTCATCATGCGTGTATTCTGCTAACTGCACTGTCCATAACTATTTGATAGGAATACATTTCTAGCCTAGGCTATTTCCTTGTTTTTCGGTGATTTAGTGGGCTCGTTTGTGGGATGTTGCGGATGAGTTTCACCGAGACCGCCTACTCTGAACAACCAATCACCGTACTGACCGCTTCTAAACTCATGCACGAGAATCGACGTAATCCATAGCAACGGCGCGTCACTCTTAGTTCACTCTTAGTGATTTATCCTTAGTATGAGTAGGTCTCAGCGGCTTTGTGAATAACTTTTAAGAAAAAACTCCTACGTAAAATGTTTTAGCGCGAGTTAGGAGCACTCCTAGCGGTAAGATAAAATGCTTTGTGAATAC